ATTGCAGTGGGGCGTGCACGCTTGATGTCTCGACAAGATTAGATTAGTTTCCATTTTAGAAATTTATTAATCGAGCGTTTGAAACATTCAAATGAAATTTTTTATGTTTCATTTGAAATTAAAGTTTTATGAATGAAATAATTTCAAAATTAAATTAACTATAAATAATCCCAGACAAAGGTCTTAGAATACCAGAAGGCGAATTCAGTTAACGTAAGACATATTAAAGTTATTACAATTTCTTTCTCTTAGCATCGTTGGTTAATATTTGTGGATGTGATTGTGATGTCACTATTGTAAGGTACAATGAACTTTTAAAATTGTACATAAAAATATTATAGTAAAAAGAGTTTTTTTTATTTCAGTTTCCTTTAGAAATATATAAATCTGAATTACAAAAATAAATTTAAAAGAGTTCACTTATTTGACTGACTGTAAATATTATAATGATTATATATATTGTCTCTGTTATTCCCTCAGATTTAATGTCAAGTTTTATCATCATATATTGGTTAGAGTTACAACAAAAAATTCAGAAGAGATCTCTTATTTGACTGATTGTAAATATCATTATTATGGACGTGTGCGAGTTAGGCTAAGTTGATGCAAAACCAAATGGGAGATTTTTTGGGATTTTTTGCGCTGCACAAATTTAGCCATTTATCAACACGTATCGATACATCACTACATTATCGGCACAGCTTAGAATTTCCCTCATATAATAAGGAACTGAACTGCTAGGTACTTCGCCCTTTAAATATCATTATTTTAACTTTATCATATAGATATTCTTTCAAATTTAATATCAAGATATTGTCATCATGTTCTTGTTGTTCTAACTGCTTTGAAGCTGAAGATAAAACACATGAAGAAGATGATTAAACAAAACAAACGAAGTAAAATAGCAAGAGTGAGAGAGAATAAGATTAAGTGAAGTGGCGTTACAGCTTCAGATTAGCTTTAATGTTTCGTACAACACCTTTACAGTTTTCTCTATCATTTTCGGCTGTTTTTCAATTCAATATATTTAGCCTTTATAAATCTAATACAATGTTTACACCGCTTACTTAGTAAGTTACTTAAGTAATTTTAAGATTTTGTCGTTTCCATTGACATAAGTTACTTATTACATGCGAAACAGTGGTGCCAAACTTCGTTACTTTTGCATATTTCTAAATATCCGTGACTTTTCGAGTAACGTTACTCAATAATACGTTACTGAAGTTTACATGCTTTTTTCGGCAATAAAAGGAATTTTTTAAAGCATATATATTAATTATAATATATTATAGATATAATAAATTATAATAATTATTTTAGTTAATTGTTTGATCCGCATATTTTGCATTTAGCTTTTCACCTCCTACCGGTTTCAAATGAATCCAAATTTCTTTGTTTTATATTAATGTTTTTAAACATTATTAATGAATTTGATAGCGAATAAAAATTTTGTTCAAAATAAAACAGTTATTATTAGACTGCGAAAACAATTCCTTAAAAGTAATCATTACCAAGTACTCGAAAGAGTAGTTATAACAAATACTACTCATTCGTTACTCCGGTATTTCTTGAGTAACGAATACAAAGTAACGGATAATTTCATTTTTGGCGCTACTAATGCGAAAGAGTATTTCTGTGTAAGAAAATTTTTTGAAAATTCTAAGAGAGCTATTTTTTTTTTAATAAACTTCACATAATAATATATTACACAAAAAATTAAATATATAATTGATATATTATATCATATAAAAACAAAGATTTTAATTAATGCTTACTTCCTCACTGCATTTGTTTATGGCTCAGCTGCTGTTTTTTTTCACATTCCACAAAAATAACATATGACAAATATTCCAAATTCCGCTAATTTCCCTTGTAGGAAATTTATTTTTAAGACATTTTGCATTCGACATTTTTGGTCTAATTTTGATTACTTTATTCTTAAGTAATAGTACATTCACACAGTCTCATTTAGGCACTTGTTCATTTATATTAATGAGTGAACGTCGTTCACATTGTAATGAGTTCATTTACGCAGCTGACAGAATTTTAATAAAGTTTTACAAATTTTTAAATTTTGAGGTTATTCAGCAACCTGTTTTTTTAATAATGGTTTTTATATATTTTTTTATCTGGCTATAGATCACTTTTTGTAAAAATAAAACTCAACGTTTGTTTAATATTTTTTTAATATATTCTATATTTCGATTCTCTTTGATAGTCATCATCAGGATCAGTATCTAACACCTGGTCACCCGGTTCTTTTAATAATGACGCGGGCATCCTTTACGACACATTTTCCACCAGTGGGTACAAATTCAAACTTTTTTTAGTCGGAGCACTTTCACTCATTCTGTCATTCTACATAATATTCAGCATTCAGTTAATTACCTACCCTCACCTTAACTTCATCAACACTTAAATCAAAGCCCATACGAGGTTTCATGTAATTAAAAGCAACGATAAAGGTTTCCTGGAATTATTCTACATCCAAACAAATTAGCTTCACATATTGGTTTTTTGTTTTTGTTGGTGTTGTTTTTCTTGTTGTTGGGGTCAATAATTTATTAAATGCCTTAAATTTACTATTTTATGAAATAATTTCAATTAAGAAACACAATTCCTGAACGTACGCATGAATGATGCGTTTGTACATAAAGCACTTAATGCGAATGTTATTTAATTTCTTTTAGCTCTTTCATTTGCTCTATCCATTTTTTTTTGTATTTTGGGTTATTTTTCTTCTTTTTTTTGGCTTTTTGTTATTGTTAAAAGCCAAGTTAAACATTGGCAGCAATTTTACAATAAAAAAAACACTTGTGCTCGTTCAGTTCGTTTCTGCCCTCCAACGATATGTGTATGTACATATATCAAACGATACTTCCCAGTAGAAAACGGATCGATCCGTCATCGAAGACGTCTTCAAGACATGGATACATACATGAAGACCGATCGATCCAAATGTATGACGGTCTTTGAAGACACTTTCATACAAATTAGCCAAATGTCTTCAATGAATTTTTGTGTACATGTCTCGAAGACCGTCTCGAAGACCATGTCTTGCATAACGGACGCATTCGACAGAAAGTTGTGCGCTCTTAGTGCAGTGCTCATATAATTTTTTCACCCTTTTTTTATTTCTACTCTTTTATTGCGCTCTTTAAATTTTAAATGAATTTCAATTTTCTCTTTAAATAAGTAGAAAGAAATTGTTGTATTTTGTACTTTTATTTATTTTATATAATAATTTTTTACATTACATTCAAAATTAACAGTTTTAGAAGTAAATTATAAATTTTATTATAAATTATTATAAATTTTATTAAGATATTAAAAATAAACTAGTAAAAACTAGTAAACGTAATACAAATTAATTTAAATATTTAACTTAATATAACTTAACATATCTAAAATTAACTAAAACTAATATAAAATAATTTATAGCATTTCGCTATCATCAATTGTTGAAGTTTTATATGTTTCAAAAGCGTTGAAGAGGATTTTGGTACAATTAAACCTTCTGATCTTAAGAGTTCTAAAATATCTTTACCACAATGCCTGTTAATCCTGTGTTTTTAAATATAACAGCTAATTTTTCACAAGTGTTTTCAGTTTTTTTATTTTCAACATCCTTTGTTTCGTTTCTAAAACAACTTTCACTGGAATTATTGTCTTCAATATTAAAATCAATATATTTTCCAGGAACTAAGTCAATATTTCATTTGTTTTGATTTAATTTCTTTTTTTTAATATTTCATAGTTTAATGATTTTGTTTCTTTATTCATTTTGATTTTTTTAATATTTATTTCACAAATGTTTATTTACTACACTTCAAAATTATTGCGTCACTTCATTTATAAAACATAGCGTCATCTGAGGCAAAATTCAAATACGTTGCTATGAACACTAAAATGAGAGAGAAAGCAAAGAAAGAGTATTTACATTCATGTTTTGAACAATTGTTTTGCAAATTTGCTTGAACATGCGGACGCGGTATCAAAGACCGTCTTGAAGACAATGTCTTCGAAGACCACTTTTTCTACTGGGTTTTATTTTGCGTGTGTGTGTGTGTGCTTAATGTGTAGGAATATATGTGTGTTGTGTTGTTGCTGCTATATTGAAGAAGAAATCATTTTGATCATACATTCTGAATTGCTTAATGTTAAACTGTATTGTTTTTGTTATTGCTGTTGCTGGAGCTGACGTTGACGCTGACGTTGATGCTGCTGGTATATTGTTTCTGTGTTTATTTATTTTTTTTTTTTTTTTGCTACTGTTAGCTCCTGACAATGTGGTCGTTGTTGTTGTTATTATTATTTTAACTTTTTGCCGTTTATTGGTCATGGCGCATACAATATAATCACATCAGTTTACTTTTCATGATTTTTATTTGGTATGTTGGTTGGTTGGTTGGTTGGTTGGTGCTTCTTCATCTTTTCCCCTTCTCTAGCTTCTCTGTTCTGTTCTGTTCTGTTCGCATTGCTTCTGTACCCGTTCCTGAAATAGCTTTTAACATTAAGAAAGAAAAGCAGCCTTTCAGTGCTTGAAGCAGAGTACGTACGCCTGAATCTGAATCTTTCAATTGTCGACTTTTTGGCGACTTTGCAAAATATCTCATGCATTTTATATTGTAACTAAGAGTAGCAATTGTACGATACTTGTACGATGTAATGTCAGTTTATCATATTGTTGTTATAATAGTGTATAATATGAAAAAAAAAAATTAGGATATTACAAAACAAACAAAAAAAAAATTTTTAAATAATAAAAGTATGTGAAGAAATAAACACATACCATATAAAATTATAAAGTTATATTTAAATTTGTTTATACGTAAATATACACATATAATATAGGTATATATATGTAATATACACATAGAAATCTTAAGAGCCGGGGGGTGCATTTAATTTTTTTTATTAATTATAATTTCTTAGTAAAATTTCTCTTCGTACAATTTTGCAATCACTTAACTTATTCTGTGCTTCTTCTTCTTTTTTAGGTCCAGCAACTGTTCAAATGGTTTCTCAAAACCGACCCCCACCAATGCCGGTACCCGTACCAGTGCCACAGGGTCAGGTAGTGCAACCATATGTCAATGAGAACGGTACCTTTACACACGTTGTGCTTTCGCCACAACAGTATCAGCAACTACATGCGGGACAAGGACATATACATACGCCATTTGTAAGTTTTGTTTTCAATTAAATTTTATCCATATTCTAATTGACTTTTTTCTTATTTTTGTTTTTATTTTTGTTTTTCTTATTATACATGCTTTTTTTAACTTCTTAAAATATAATAAGCTTTTTATTTGGTCATTCTTTGCTTTTTGATTAATGCCTTAGACCAACCTACAGCTGTTAGGATTGTAGAAAATTTTTGGATTTATTTTTTTTTTTTTGTTTTTTTAATTAATTTGCTTTTGTTATTATTTTAAGTTGATTACAATTTCTACAATTTTGTAGAAAAATGGTAAAAAGAATTTCTCAAGTGAGTAATCAACACGTAATTCGAAAGTTCTTCTAACTATATACTATTTTTTTTGTGTGTGCATGTGTGTGTGTGTTACTGTATGTGTATTAGTTGGGTTGAGTTGAGTTGAGTTGTTACTTTTGTTGTGTGTGTGTGTGTTGGTGTGTAATATATGTAATGTATAATACTGGTTGGCTAGAGCATTTGTTTAATATTTATGACCCTTAAAGTAACTCAAGTGTAACTTTTTGTTGGTGGTATTTTTCTTTAGCATTTAAGCACTTACAAACTATTTAAATTATTATGAAAATGTAATTATTGTCACGCCAAAGTTAGGCTTCATAAATAATTTATTCTTTAATTAATAGGCAAAACCGTTTGTTTACTTTAGCTATCGTTGTTGTTGTTTTTAATTACAATTTATTATCGCCTAACGATATTAGGTAATATAAATAAGAAACTGTATTGAATTGTAGTAAGTAAAGTAATATAAGTAATTCAACAAAAAAAAAAAAATTAATAAATTAAAGAGAACTTCAAAAAACTTCTGGTATTCGATTTTCTTAATTAGAAACCAAGGAACTCATGTTATGTTATAGCCTACTCACATGGAATCTAGGTTAAATTGAGTTTCAATTAGTGCTTCAAAGTGTTTTAGCATTATGCTGTTTTTACTGCTTGAGTATATTTGAATTCGAACATTTTAAATCACAAATACGACATCAAATTTTAGTAATACAACTTATCATAATCGATACTACAACTACTACGGTCCAGGGTCTTGGCCCCCTTTAATAGTTCTTCAACAAAACAACAAAGTACAATCTCAACAACACCATCGGTACTACAAGTAGTATCCGCTCGTAAACTTCTTTAATAGTTCTCTTATAATTATAACTCATAATTATCACCATCGGTACTACAACCGGTATCCGAACATGGACTAGAAGTTCACTTATATTGTCTTGAACGTCCAACTTTCGCTGAATTTTAAAGAGAAAAAATTACAAGGCTATATTTAGTAAATAAGAGAGTAAATGAGGTGAATATATCCACCGGTGATGAATCCTAATTTGTGAATGTTTTTAAAATTGTCAATCAAAAGAGTAGATATAAATATTGTGACTATTAAGTAGCGCTCAGGTTGTCAGAGCAGCGGCCATTCACCAATATGCATATAGCTCAACTAAAAGCGTGCATACAGTTATATATTTTATTAAAGGCATTTGATGGAAGATAAGATACTAACTTTTAGTTACAATACTCACCCTTTATTTTTATTATTATCTTTAATGAGATGTTAAGCAATGGAAAGACTAAGTCGTCAGTGTGAAACTTCAACCCATTAAAACCATTCTGATATCCCACGGTGAGTCCTTTTGGGAACATCGATTTGATATTTCGTCAATAGGCTGTCAAGAGATAAATCCCAAGCGTCTTTTTTTTTTGCTGTTATTAAGTCTATCGACTACATTTTTCAAACTGTGTGTTTTTAAATACCACCATTGCTCTTGAGTTACTGCAGCTCCTCTTATGGACACGTTCCTGCTGGTGGTATATTCTATAGTTACCCTAGATCATACCACCGTTGGGTATTCTGTAGTCACCGTAGATCATGCCACCATTGTATATTCTATAGTCACTCTAGATCATGCCACTGTTGGGTGTTCTGTAGTTACCCTAGAACATGTCACCGTTGGGTGTTCTGTAGTCACCCTAGATTATACCATCGTTGGGTAATTTAAAGTCACTCTAGATGATGCCGTTGGGTATTTTATAGTCATATATTATGCATGGCACCGTTGGGTGTTTTATAGTCACCCTAGGTCATGTCACCATTGATTACATGTTAGAAAATCGTTTGTTCAATCTTTCTAATCTTATAATTTTTTGTAATATTTTAAATTTTAAACGAAGTTTAGTTAATCAGCTTTTGCTGTTAATCAACTATTTAATTAAAAAAAAAAATATTTTTCAATTCTTAACTTTGTTTATACAAAAATATAATATGAAAAATTAATCTCGAAAATTTTTTAGAAATATGAAGAAATTTCCCTCATAGAACTGCAATGTGTATCTCAAAATAATTCAGAATATTTTTTTTTTTGTAAATTTATTTTTTAGTTCTTTGAAAAACTTTTTTTTCTACATTTATATAGCTTTGTTTAATATATTTTTATAAAATTTACGAGCAATTTTTTAAATTAATTTATTGCAATTAATGTATTCGCGCATGCATAAAGATAAAAGCTAATGTCTGGAACACTGGAGAACAATTGCGAAAGTATTTTACTATTGAACATGTGTCCAAAATTATAATTTTCAAACACAATTTTGTTTGCTATTTAAAATTTTTTAAATTTGTTTATAATTATTGTTTACAGTTAAATTATGAAAATTAATTTTTAATAATTTTTTGTGAAAATAAAGATAGTATATGTAGGCCGATTTTTTAAGAGATATATATAGACTTTGAAACTAAAATAAAACAACGTTACTTTGAATAAATAATTCAAATAATTTTTTGCCCGATACATGATTTTATGGCATAAATAATGAAAATAATTTCGGTGAGTTGAGCTTTATGAAAATATCTTAGAAACTACACTTTGAAGCCTCAATTTTTCTCATGTTTTTTCGAATATGTAAGACAATATCTCACCTAAACACCTCCTAAAATTTACGAGGAATTTGGAATCAAAAAGATTTTCTTGTTTAATCAAGAGACTACGAACGTCTTCTACTTTATCTATGTACCTTGTATGGAAAGTGAATGGTCTAGTTTCGATGTGGATAAAAAGCGAATATTACACATCGTACTTGGTGCTACAAGTCGCTGAGTGTGTTAAAGAATGGGGCCACCAAAAACCTTAACCGAATTCTGACCAAGCCTAGGCATAGAAACAACAGGTATTCTGGTGTCCTTTCTTCAAGAATTGGTAGACATGCATTGCAGGATACACCACAGGGTAGGCCAAGTCTAGCTTCATGCCGTCCTTTGGTCCAGTGTCCTGTAAAGACAGATATTTACCTAGATACCTCTGATTTGCTACTGTGTATCAAGTAAGAGGTTCTGCATTTGAAATAGATTGCCCAAGTATCCCTTGACCTGACTTCTGAGGTAGTACAGGCCCACTCACTATTAGCCTGTCTAAAAAAGATGTTAGTTAACCTGTCACTGTAGCTGGCAGGGAAAGCGATTGAAATAGGAGTATCCGTAGAAGAAACGCTCAGTCCAGCAAGTTCATTTGCACGTTAATATCCTACTATATCAGAATGCTCATGAACCCAAACTAGAGTTAACCTCTCACTTAGTGCGTTGATAAATTCTCTACATTCTTGTAATAATCTGGATTTTATATAGACCGCTGATAATACTTTAATAGCCATCTGACTGTCAGTAAAACAATATAGATTTCTTTTCCGCGAAAGTACATGTTTAAAGTAAAGTGCACATGCTCCAAGTATAGCGAAGATTTCTGCTTAAAATATTGAAGTGCAATCGGAGAGATGGTAAGAACCAATATGAACTGGGTTTTTCATTAGTGGTATTTAGCTTAACCATTTTTTAGTGCCTTTCTTTGTTATAACTCAAACCTTTTGATTAAACGGAAAGGGTTTACCCTTTCCCTTTTTAGTATTTAGTCCCCTCATCTTTCTTCCTCTACTCAAATTTCGTCATACCACAGACAGATTATCACTAACGTGGGATTCCAAAAAATTTCTCAAAATTTCAAAGATATTCTCATAGTTGCATTTTGTTAATTGAATTTTTTTTTTTTTTTTTGCAACCCACATACATGCAAGTCTCGCTGGAAATACCATAGGCTAAGACTATGTTAAACACTTGACTAGACCGACATGCAAGTGTCGGTCTGGGTGTGTTCACGTTCGTTCGTTGGTTCGTTGGTTCGATGGCTCGTTCGCAGTAATTCCGATTCATCAAAAGTGAAATAAATTTTGCTACGGTTTGTGAACAAAATGAAAGTACATTTTCTGTTTTCTGTTTCAATTGTTGTTGTGACTGTTCTTCTTCTTCTAGTTGTTGCTTGCCTGAGTGCCTGTTGCTTGTAACTGTTGGTGGTATTGTTGTTGATTGATTGTGTTAACAATCAAATTAACATTGTTATTATCTTGTTTGCATTTTTAAATGGATGAAAAAAATTAAAATATTTTTTCCTTCGCATTTTGGTTAAAAACTCGTTAATCTAACTTTTTTTTTTTGTTTTTTTTTTCCTTTTTTTTTTTATTTTTTTTTACACATTTTTTTTCCACTTTAAGTTCATTTTGTTTGCTACAAGTTATACTAGTGCCATTCATCTCTACAACTCATCACCGTCTCAACTTTTTTTCATCACTTCCCAACTATTCTTCTCCAGAGTTGCGTTTTCTTTGCAATATTTTTTTTTGTTTTTTTTTTGGCAATATTTTTTTTTTTTGTTTTTATTTTTTAGTTCATAAAGTTGCTAAAATTTAAATATTTTTATTGTATGTTAATTTTGGTTTGAAAAATATTTGTTTTGTTTTGTTTTTAATCAAATTAATAAGAGTAACTACCATTGAAAAATTAAAAACATAAAAAAATCCAATTTTATTATGCAAGACTGCGTCACTTTCGAAAAATTGTGCGCTCTTCCAAGTGCTCAGAAAAAAAAACGTTTACCACCTGAGAAACCTTCATGCAAGAAGGGGTCGCCGAACCAGGCTTTATACATTTTAGTGCTCTACTTTTAATTCAACTTGGCTAAAATCATGAAATTCATTTTGAAAATAAAACAATGAAAAATTTCAAATAAAAACTTTAAAATGAAATGGAAGAAAATTTCAGTTGACGGTTTTCAATTTTTTTAATATTTTTAATTTTTATTGTTTCAAAAAACAAAAAAAAATATGTAGAAAATTCCATAGAAATATGCAAATTGAAATGTTAATATTCCTCATTAACGTGGATCTATTGAACCACATTTTTTTAGTTTTAATCTTCATGACCTGTTTATACTCGTATTGTTGAACTTGCTATAATTTT